ATATATATATATATATATATATATATATATATATATAATTTAACCAGTTAAGCCAAATTGAGCTAAAATGTTGACCATTTGATTTACTTTCTTGCAAATGTGATATCATTGACAAAGACTCCTTCATCACCAAAGTGAAGGATTTAAGTAACCAAAAAAAAAAGTTGGATAAGATTTGTTACAAATGATTATCAAGATGTTGGATTTCTGACTAAGAATTGGTTCTATAAATAAAAATGTGATGTCACAAAATTCATGAAATTCGTGATCAAATTACTTTAAACCAATCGAAATGCTCTTTAATTATATACTAATGACTAACGAAGATCTTAATTGAATTTAGAAGAAAAGGTTAAAATAAAATTGACATTAAAGATAACTTATTAGAGTTGTCTCAGTGATAAATAGTCTAGGTAGTTTAGACAAAGTTCTAAATTTAAGTATCATTTACATTATTTTATATAAAAAAATGTCATTAGAGAATTAAAGAGAATGCGACAGAACATGTTTATATATAAGGTTAAAAAAAATTGAGAACTTTTTTACAAAAAAAAAAAATCTTTATTTTTTCAGTAAAAAAGTTCTTAAGAAAAACGGTTCGTAATAAGCAAGAACCCAAATAGGCATGACCGAAGCTGCTCCTACTACACCACCACATGCACCAATTCGGTGGAAGAGTAGACCATCCAAATTAAATTGGGCCGAGAAACAGTAGAGGCCTCATTGGTGGGCTTTGGGTTATGGGCTAGGTTGACGATTTGTTGCTCTTTTCAATTTTTTGTTAAAAAATATAATATAAAAAGCCAGAAAGAATATATTAGAAAATAATTTTTTTAAAAAAGAAAACAAGGAGTCACACACAAATTATTTACCTCAAACATAAGATAGAATAATGTATTCATTATCTAGTATATATCTAATGCATATCAAACATTAGATAATATTATTCTATTTTATTTTTATCCGACTCTCATATCTAAATTATAATATTTATTTTCTTTAAAATAAAAGGTGAAATGAGAAAATGATAACATTTAAAAGATTTTTTTTATGAAAAACTGAAGGTTAAAGACTAATCTCCCACTATATTAAAATATATTTAAGAGACCTGTCTCTTTTAATTTACAGTGAAATTCCTGAACATATATTTAAAAAATAATATGATCTGTCAACAATATTTGAAAAGGATAAAAACATTTTTGATTCGTTTTTAAAGGAATAAGTTTACCCAATATATTTTTTTTAACATTGAGATGAGATGATATTCCTCCACAATTTTGTTTATGAGGTCAATGCTTGACTTGTATGGACCGTGTATCACGAAAATATTGCATTATCTCTTACTCGTTGAGATCAACTGAAACAAACAAAATGTTTAGCTTTCAAAATGAAAGCATGAAACGTTGAAGAGAGAAAAAGTTCACATGGACACTAACAATACTTGTTGGGTGTTACATTTCAATTGGATAACATTACTCGGGAATCCGACCCGCATAAATTTAGTGACTCTCACACAAAATGCATTTGCATAGGTGTCCATTTTTTTGTCTCTTGCTATAAAGAAAGGAAGCCTTTCATATCATCAATGATTTATTATGGACTGTGGCCTACAAGGACTATGGGTGTGGCTATCTTTCTATTTTTTTTAGGTGAGAAGTGATTCATTTTGGGGCTATTTGTAGGTGGATGAAAGAGAAAGATAAAAACAATAATATATGAAATTAGTGAGGTAATTAAAAAAAGATAATAAGAAAATAAAGTGAAAAAATAAGGTAAAAAGTGTATAAGTATAATCATTGATTTTAGGCGTATGTTTTGGTTGGAAACCCTAAACCAAGTGATGTTACCCATCAAACAATCTAGAATGAGAATTATGACATAATTGTATAATTGTTCAATTAATTAGAGCCGACATGATTTGTCCTTTTTAACTCAAATGGTTAATTATCTTGTTGTCGCTGACCCTATTAGAATCATTTCGATCGATTTCATAGTTTCATCTTTTGGGAGCGAATTAATTCCATGTACTTGCAAAATTGCTTTGGCCTTGTGCATGAAAATATATTGTTTTTAGGTTTGTAAGGAAAAACTTGTAAAAAGACAAAGTTTCATGTGCAGCTACCTAAGCTATCCAAAGGAAAACGCTGGGCTAGTTTGTTCTTGCGTTGGAATAGTTAAAAAAAATTCAAAATTTTGCACACAATAATACATGTCGTTTTATTTTTCTTATTGTGCCATGTTTATTAATTTATTAGTTTTAATTGGATAAAAAACTATATTGCATTATTTAAATAAAATTAAATTATTTAAATTTTATTTATATTTTAAGTCATCATTCATAGGATTTTTCTTTTTATATTTGAGTTTGGAAGAAGGTAAAGAAATACAGTATGATACAGTATATATAAACTTAGTTTTTATCTTTATTTAATATTTTTAAGAGTCACGTTCTTTTCGATTAACTCAATTGACTTTTTCTTCTATCTTTTTGTTAAAAAAAGATAAAACAAGACAAGGTACAATTTTATATAATATTAAAACCAATCATCAATTTCTTTGACAATTTTTAATAGAAGTATGGATCATCTACCTCATTTAAACACAAGTCTATAAAGGAGGATATAAAATAATAAAAGAAACAAATTTAATCATAAATTTTAATTAATAAAAATAAATAGATTTAACCAGTTGCACTACTCTTACAAAATCATGAGATATTTTATATTAGATAAGCTTAATTTTAAGATTATTCTAATATTAATATAATTTCATATTCAGATTTTAAATTTTAGCACACCAAATCATGAAATCAATAAAAAAAAATGCTTCTTGATTTAAATAATTTACGTTTTATAGCTTTCTACTTAATTTTTAAAAGTTTTTTCCCTTGATTTTTTTATTTAATAAATAAAATGTATTATTAGTAAAAATATTTTATATTCTCATTAATTATATTTATAATTTTCACTTAACTTTAAAAATATTCATACATATACGAAACACTTGACAGTTATAGTAATTATTTGATATTTAAATATTGACTATATTAATAGGATAAGAAAGGGAAGACTTTGAATCCAAATGTCCGTTAGAGCAAGTCATTTTTAAGTTTTAATTAATTAGCACTATCTAGTTTGAAAGCATGTTTAATTATAATTTTATTAAATACACATAGTTATGACTAAATTCTTCTTTTAATTATTTGTTTAATTAGTTTAATTTAATATTTTACTATTAAAAGGTATAATTTTATCTTGATTTTTATAAATGATACGATATTATCTAATCCATTCAATAGAGATTAATAACATTAATTTGTTGTACAAATTTTGAATACATTTTTTGTTTAATTATATCACAAATACAAAGTGATAATGTCAGAAAATAACATTTCATTGTTTTTAAAAATTAAAGAACTAAATTCAATATTTGAATGACAAAAAATCAAATTAATCAATTAAATAAAATGATAAACAAAAAGGTCTATTCTTATACATGTGATAAGTTAATTATTAATTATAAAGTTAAAACTAAATTATATTTTTAATTTTCATCTTATTTTAAGGTTTATTTTACTCTTTTATTTGACATATATTATCTGTGTAAACATTTTTATATTTTGAATAATTAAAAATAATTAATGATATATTTTTTAAAATAATTATAATAAAAAATTAACAACCTTATCTAATATAACACTAATTAAATTAATTGAATAATATATACAATACAAACGATTTTTATATTATTAATACTTGTATTATTATTATTTTTTTATATGGCGGTCAAATCATATAAAGAATTAGTCAAACTACGCGAATAATCAATCAGAAATATCCACGTTCCTGAAAACATGCATCACTTAAATTAAATATCCATTAAAAAATTTAGTCACTGTTTAATATTAGTATATCTTTTGCATACGAGTATGGAGTAGTTTTTAGCTGGGTATGGCAATCAAACCTGACTCATGAGTATTTGTTTGATTTGGACGGGAAAAATTTATATTTAACGAATTTGGGTTTGAGTTCAGAATTTACCTTATTAATAAAAGTGGGAGTGAGAACATGGATGTTAATACACGTTCTCTTCTTATTTTGCTTAATAATATAATTAAAATATTATTTATATATATAAAAATTAAAAATATTTATATGTAAAATTTTGTATTATTTTATTTATTTTATTTTTTAAAAAAAAATTTATTTATATTTATTAGAAATAGAAAAAAAAAAAGTTCAAGAACGGGAATGGGGTGGAGTGAAAAGACTCAAACTTGCTAGAAATAAAAAGAGTACTTAAATTTTATTCCCAACGAATATAAGAGATGGTTTAAATTTGCTAGAGAACATAAATTCCGCCCCGGCGGTTGCCATGCCTAATTTTAGCGGTGCAATTAATCAATCCATGTTGTGGGCATTTTATTAAAGAAATTAATGCTGCTGACAGAGATAACGTGAGAAATGGTGTGAAGAAAGAAAAATCCTCCAAAATGAGCATCAAACGCGTAGGCGTAGATATAATGATATATAATGTACACTAGTCTCCTACTATACAGTGTAATAAATTTCTATAGTCAATTGAAGACAGATTGTAGCAGTTATTTTACTATAAATTAATCGCTGGATCCTTACAGGTTGCTTGACTTCAAAGTTTTGGATTGAAATTGTCTTTAAAAAGAGACAAACGGGTAGTTATATTACATTTTTTTATTTAGCAAGTTGCGACTAGCTAAATTATCAAACATTTATTACTACATGTTTACTTAAATAATAAAAAGAAATAAAAATTGATAAGAAAAATATATTTAACTGTGTTTTTTGGCGGATATTATTCTGTTGTGTCAGCGTGCGTATATAATTTATTTTGGAGAAAAAGAAGAAGAATTTATTTGAAGCCAATGAAAACGATGCGAGTCCCCGTAAGTCAACCAGACGGGTCTAATAGCGGGAAAGAGAGAAGAGAGAGAGAGAGAGAGAGATAGAGAGATGGGTGCCTTGTTTGGCGCAAACGTGTAAATGATGCATAGAAGAAGGATCCTCTCCCACCAAAAAAAAGTGCTATTATTATGATAATTAATTTGGTGGTGAGTGGGCGCTAATAGTAATAGTAATTTCCGTCCGTGGCTCCCTCCCCGCAATTGGATTTCATTTTTGATTGGGAGCGGAAGCAACATGTAGAGAAGTTGTGGCGAGGGCAGGGCGAATCCAAAGGCACGTGCGAGACGAGAAGTTGTGTTTAGGGTTGCGAAAGTCTCGGGCAGCATGGAAAGCATTGCCGCGCAGCTGAAGCGCGGCATCTCGCGCCAGTTCTCGTCGGGGTCGCTGCGGAAGAATCTGAGCCGCCAGTTCACGCGCCAGGCCTCGCTGGATCCGCGCCGGAACAACCAGCGCTTCAGCTTCGGCCGCCAGTCCTCGCTCGATCCGATACGCCGGAGCCCGGGGCCGGACCACGCCGAGCTATCGGTGCCCGAGAATCTCGACTCCACCATGCAGCTGCTCTTCATGGCCTGCCGCGGCGACGTCAGGGGAGTCGAGGACCTGCTCAACGAAGGCATCGACGTCAACAGCATCGACCTCGACGGCCGCACCGCCCTCCACGTCGCCGCCTGCGAGGGACACGTCGAAGTCGCCAAGCTCTTGCTCACACGCAAGGCCAACATCGACGCTCGCGATCGCTGGGGCAGCACTGTAATTTCACTCTCTCTCTTTCATCAACCTCGCCTTTTAATTCATTTATTGTCTCATCTTATACTAATTCAATGAAGTATGCTGCTAGGTAGTATCAATTTATCATTGTTATTATTGTGAATTTAATTTAGATGTACTAATGATATAATGAATGTCATCAAATCATGTCTTCTTGTTAATTTCTATTATAGGTTAATCAATGAGTGAATCTTGATTAGTTGATAATGTAAAATCTTCGTCATGATTAAACTGTATTAATTTTGCAAGCTTAATTTAAATAAAAAAAATACACAATGAGTTAATTTAAGGTCTGTTATGATAAATATTTTTTTAAAAAGAAAATAGGAAGTGAAATAGTAAAAAAAAAATTATAAGCTAAAATTATTTTGTACATCTGTTTAAAATATTTCTTTTTTGGAAAAATTGAAAGGTAAACATTTCTACAAATTTGCGAAAACTAATTTTACAAGTGTGTTTAGATTAGATTTAATTTTTTCATTTCAGTTTCATGTCCGAAGTTGATAAATAGTTATATCTACTTTTTTTTCTTTCAATTTTTTACTATGATTTCGGGAGTCAAAATTGATTATGGTAGCTATCCAATCATGCTATAAATAGTCAGAAATCTTGATTTATTTCAATTTTGTGATCGGATGATAACGGAAAAATCATTTACTGTGTAATTGCATTTTAATTAAATGCTATTATTTTTGTAGTTATTTTTTTAGGCTAAAATTGATTTGATTTTTTGTGGTAAGTGGTGATGGATGTGTGGATGTGCAGGCGGCGGCGGATGCCAAATATTATGGGAATACAGAAATTTATTACATGTTGAAGGCTCGAGGAGCGAAAGTGCCGGTATTGTGTCACCTTTCTTTGTTTGTTATGGGTCAGTGAATATGTTGGATATATTGAATTAAGCGGCTTACTGGTTAATTATCTTTGACGTGGTCAGAAAACCAGGAAGACTCCAATGACTGTTGCGAATCCTCGTGAAGTTCCGGAATATGAACTCAACCCGTTAGAGCTACAGGTTCGGAAGAGTGATGGTATTTCAAAGGTATGATGCTTCTCTTTCTTTCATTTTTTATTTGGTTATTTAATAGTTATGGCTATTTTTGGCATATTATACAACTTGGATTTCACCTGGACATGGTATTTTTTCATGGAAATGCATGTTGATACTTGCAACTGACACAACTATTCTGATTGAGGGAGCTTTTTTGCTTTTAGTTATGTAATTTGCATGGCTAGTAATGTAGTACAAGATGTTTACTACCGCCTGTTAAATATTTGCTTTGCCATATTTCGCAACCGTCTGATTTTTTATTTTGTCTCCCCAATATTTTATTTTTCCTGTTAAATTTTATTGTTTGGGTTTATTTCTAGTGAATATCAGCAAAGTGGTACTTGTTGATTCCTAATGTGCTGGTGCTTCATGCATAACAAAAGTTGCTGATACTTGTTAGGATTGTGTCCATAGATCTACAAACATCTGACATTATTAAGCTAAATAATGATGCGTGTTAAACTTGCTTGCATAGTTCTTCACTGTTGTTTGATCCATCTATTTGCAGGGAATATACCAAGTAGCTAAATGGAATGGCACAAAGGTTGCAGTGAAGATACTTGACAAGGACAGTTATTCAGATCCTGATTCCATGTATGTATACATCACAGCAATTGAACTTGTTTGTGTGATATGATATGCTTCTTGCCAGCCAACCGGCTTGTTTGATGCTGCTTATCTAAGTTCTTGTCTGACTGCAATTGCATATATCATTACTTTTCACTTTGATTTTTGGTCAGAGTAGATGCTCTAAATTGCTGTTTGTTTTTATACTTTATTACTCAAACTTGGCTCTAAATTTTAATACCATTTCAATAATTCACTCAGAAATGCTTTCAAGCACGAGCTCACATTATTAGAAAGGGTGCGACATCCGAACGTGGTCCAGTTTGTTGGAGCTGTCACCCAAAATATACCTATGATGATTGTTCGTGAGTACCATGCTAAGGTAAGCTAACCCCCTCTGTTCCTTTCTATCTTTGCAAAGTAATTTTCTTGTATCTAACTCAATTTTCTTTGCTCATATTAATGTTGATTTTCAGGGTGACCTGGCAAGTTATCTTCAAAAGAAAGGGCGTTTGTCCCCATCAAAAGTTCTACGGTTTGCTCTTGATATTGCTAGGCAAGTAACCATTTCAAGGAACTACGCTGTGCGAAATCTTTGTAAACGCATCTTTTGAAAAAGCTTTCATCCCTTTTCTTAATTTTATTATCTCTAATATTGTCATTGGTTTCTATAAGGCGTCTCTGGTCATTTTCTTTGCTTGCTAAGTTTATAATGTAGCAAATGATTATAAATTTGTTGAGCATTTTACCAGATTGTTTATAAAGATTTATTGATAATTTGTTGTTGGCAGGGGCATGAACTATCTTCATGAATGCAAACCAGATCCAGTTTTTCACTGTGATTTAAAGCCAAAGTAAGACCACTTAATACAATCTGATGTTTATTTTATGACCGAGTGCATTTTGAATTAGATTTTTTCTCATGGGATTACTGTTCCTTTAATATATGAAATTTTGGTAAGGTGCCAGAAATATTTTGCTGGATAATGGAGGGCAATTGAAGATAGCTGGATTTGGCACGGTGAGACTTACACTAATCTCACCTGATGAAGCAACACTGGTACAGCCTGAGCCTAACATTGATCTTTCAAGTAAGTTTTTTGACTATTTCCATTTTAATTGTCTTGGATTTTGTCTCCTTCCTCATTGATTGGAAGATTTTTATTCTCCAGTGTCCTATTTTCTTGCATTAAGAATCAGTTGAATTATAAACTGGTTGAACATATAAGAGTTGTGAATGCAATAGGAATTTGCTTTTCACGGATGAATTAAGTATACCCGTTAAAATTGGGTATGGCAACTTTCACTAGCTGCCCTTAGCTTGGGTTAGACCATGAAAATGGTAAAATACAGTGCTGGAACTTCTGTTAATTCTATTACATCTTAAGATCAATATATTATATTTATATATTTAGAACTCTTGGTCAAAACTTGTTGGGCACTTGGGCTTAATGTTAAGGGGGTAGAGAGGGAAAATTTATAAGATGGTTCATCGTTTGGGATATGGAGATTTTTGATCATGCACATACCTTACTTCCATTTGATGGTGTTACATAGGTTCAAATTGTTTTAGGGGTTAAACCTTTTTCTCTCAACTTTCCTTACTTCAGGATATTGCCGACATTTAGGGTATGCTATGAAAGAATGTATCTCTATTATTCCCACCTTTATTCTTGTTTACATTATAAGTCTCGTGCAGACATGCAATGGTAAAATTCAGTTCAGGACTAGTGAATCTTGTCAATAGAATTTCAGTTTGACAATATGTACAAGTTTCCATTTAACAGAGAATTGTATTCTTCATAATTAATATAATTAACTAGGATATTAAAGAGTCCTGTATTTTTTTGTTGAGAAAAAATAGTAATAAAGCGTGCCTGAAGTTAGTTGCTACTACATATTGAATAACTGTTTCCATTTTATTTTTATATTTGTTTTAAATGTGTAATTAATAATGTTATTTTGGTAAAAGCAAAAATTGAATACGAAAGTAGGGAATTTCCTTTAGTGACTGTAGAGATTGCAAAAGCTGAAATTGCCATCATGATTTAAAGATTTACATACAAATAACTTAAGGTTTGTAGAATAATTTCTCCATTAAGATATTCATTCCATCTCTAAATGATGATCCCTTGGTCCAAACAAATACAAATTTTAAGAGAAAATGGACAAGCATTTTAAGAAAGATTGAGTAGTATACTGATATAATATTATTATACTTTATAGTCTAATAAAAATATTTGAAGATTAGAATTGCTAAAAGCGTCTTTCATGGTTCAATTAATGATTTGGCTGTATTCAGGCGTGTACGTGGCACCGGAGATTTACAAAGATGAAGTATTTGATAGAAGTGTGGATGCATATTCTTTTGGTCTCATTATATACGAGGTACCACATTTTTGCCACACCTATAATATTGTTAATCTGTTGTGATGTTTCATATATCAGATTAATTAGTTTTCAAGTAGTTTTTTCTGCGTGACTCTTATTTTTTGTTGCTTTGGGCAAAGCTTCTTGCCTTCGGAACATGAGTTTGAGTTACATTGAACAGTTATGCAGGCTAAAGCACTCAAGTGGAAAAAGTTGTGCTCTAACTATTAGCTATAGTTTTTAGTCTAGTGATAATCTACTAGTGTTTTTAGAGCTGAGATCACAAGTTCCTTAAGATTACTGATTCACTTAGTTTTCATGAAAAAACTTTGTAGCTTTTCCAAATTCATTTAGACTTTTTAAATTTACCACTCCAGTCTTCATATATTAATTGTCAATTAGTTGAAATTCAACTTTTTTTAATTTTATATTTCTTTCATGGACCCAGATGATAGAGGGTGTACAGCCCCTCCATCCCAGGTCCCCTGAGGAGGCAGTGAAGCTGATGTGTTTAGAAGGGTTAAGACCACCATTCAAGATCAAAACAAAACATTACCCTCCGGATTTGAAAGAGTTAGTCTATTTTAAAGTTGAAAAGAGGTCTTCAAGCTTCAGTTTATATTAAAAACGGTCTAACTATCATGTTGTATACAGGTTGATTGAGGAATGTTGGGATCCACAACCCGTTGTCAGGCCAACATTTTCTCAGGTCATTGTACGGTTGGACAAAATTGTTGCGAATTGCTCGAAACAAGGATGGTGGAAAGATACTTTTAAACTTCCATGGTATGTTTTCTAGATTATAAGTATGTTTAGATAGAAGGGATTTTGAGAATTTTATTACTGAAAATAAAGAGTAGTTTTTTAAAAACACTTCTAAATTTGTATGCAAATAGACTTTATATTCTTATAAAATTTTAGTTTCTATGGAGGAATTCAAAATCAAAACGATGAAATGTGATACCATGAAATGCTAAAATAATCACCCTTATGGTATGTGTCTGTGATGGGGATGTTTACCTCGGGCCATTTTAGTTCGATTTGAGTAACGCTAGTTTCAAAAAGATTGATATTACTGTTCTACTTGTTGATGAACTTTCTTTGCCCTTCTAAACTTGGTATTTACCATGATACGTTTCGATGCGTACAGGAAATAAATTGCAAGGTACATCTCACATGGCAAGGAAGACATCAAATTCAGGGTTGCATCATCAAAACCAATTTGTGAGCACATGTCGGTGTACTGTTAATAGTTTTGGAATTCGAATAATATTATCTTGAGCTTGAATTTGAGCGTGAAAAGGAAGTTACACGGTTCCACCTATGTTATCTGTCCACTGGAGGGTCTGGAACAGCTCTCTGTAAAATGTAACCATAAACGACATATAACATTTATTCTCAGAAAATTTTCTAATAAAAATGTGTTTCTGTACTTAAGAATAGACTACCATGGGCTACAACTATTAGCGCCTTTTTACACGATATATGTTATGTGGCTTATATGGAATCTGGTTTTTGTCCCTCAACACTCAACAGTCAAATTGTTGTTGTGGCACGCGGTGAGCGTTTAGCAATTTGTTAGGTCAGATTAGCAATCAATTAGTTTTTTTAGAAAAAAGTTAGCAATTAATTAGTTAAAATCTGAAAAATCGGTCGAGCTTAAAAATATTTCAGGTTCAAAGGATGGGAAGACAGGGATCGAATTTTAATAGAAAGGAGTGAAAAAAGTGAGAAATTTTGTTTGATGGATAAGAAAAAGAAAAAAAAAGATTTAAAAAACCAAATTATTTTTGCATTATTATAATTTTAAAATTAAAAATACAAGTATATTTTAGACATTATATAATAAATGTTTTAAAATTTCTCCCTTCTAAATCTTCTAATTTGAAGTGAGTTTAAATTACATGAAAATAAGTTTTATTCCCTTTCATTTCCTTCCTAAAAATTGAACTAAATAATAAAAGTTTATAAAAATTCTTTTTTATTCCAAACACTATGAAAAGTTAATATGAAAAATAGAAATACCATCATGTTTCCTACAAAATGGTTGTCTCAACACAACGAAGAGTGTAGGGTTAATCTCAAAATTGTTATTATTAATGGAAGAATTAACAATAATGAGCCCTTATTGATCCTTATTATTGTATTACTCGTCAAGAGTGTGCCTAGGTAGTTGTTCAACTGTTAACTCTTTGAGATTTTCTCGTCACTAGAGTGAGAAGAATTTGCTTCACACTCTTTGGCTAGAATTTGTTATCTTCATTTTCTTTTTTGCTAATTAGTCTTTGTAGTTTTCTCGAGCTCTAGATTAAGAAGAAGTTCTTTTAATCCTTTACTTTAGCATAATCTGAAGCAACAAAAACTGTAAGAGGGTATGATTAATTAAGTAGTCAACTAGTTGTGTTGTTATTAGAAACATAAGTGTGTTGATCATATAATAAGCAATAAAGAGTGAGAAGAACATTTCATTTAGAGGATTACAATATAATAACGACATAATAAACCAGTTACTCTTTTTATTCAAGAATCAAGAAAGAATCAAACTTAGACTATTAGTTTTTAATAAAAAAAATATATAAACACAAAATAGTTAATCAAAATTCCCTAATCTAAACTTTTAATTATAACAACAAAAGTTAACAAACAACAAATTCCCCAAAACAATATAATGGTTGGACTCGGACCACTTCAATTGAAGAAACTAACAATAGACTAATTCAATTAAAAATGCTCTGACCTTAATAAATGTTATGAATGTCATCAATCATACTCAAAATGTCACGAATCATACTTTAAATAATATTTTATAACTTTTCTTGTGAATACATACTACCCATTTTTCCTCGAGTTTAAATTTACCCCTTTTCAAACATGAACCCATATTTTAAGCGTTTAACACTAGCAACAATTTAATTACCACAGCAGAATTAAAATTTACATTTTACAGCATAAAACTATTTTTTAACACAATTTACATTTATTTTTGAAGGGTTTTATAATAAGATGGTTATAACGAATAAATAAATATTCAGATTTAAAAATAGACAACTATTCGTGAGAGTATGCGATTTATTTATTTATTATGGAGGGTGAGTAATTTTTAAAATTATAGTGTGTGTGGTGTGTAAAAAAAGCAAAAGTATCTAATAAAAATGAGAATCAAAAGATAATTATTGATTCATGCGTTTCTTTTATAACGTAGGTTAAAACCCTAATTTGGTCTCTTATAATATTTTAATGTTTCAATTTAGTTTCACTTTAATTTTTAGTTTCAATTTGGTCCCTAATAATTAAAATTACTATAATATTAGACTTTCCGTCCAAATTTCTTAAACGGAGTTAACTGTTGGCCACGTGAATGTCACGTAGATGCACATGTGGATGCCAAATTTCTTTAATGCATCTAGAACCAGAACGACCCGTTCTGCTGCACTCGTAGTGTGTTAATTTTGCATCTGGAACGGCCCGTTCTAGATGCATTAATTAACACACAACGAGTTAAGCAGAACGACCCGTTTACAAAAGCTGAGGAGACTCATTTACAAAAATGAAAATCTTTATATATGTATAGCATTTGATGACATTTTAAGCAAACATTGATATTTAAGAAAAAAAATGAGATAGTGTTATTGCTATTTTATGAAATAGGGATTAATATTAATTTTGAAAACATTCTTCTATTTTTAGTACATGTTTCGTAATATTTTTTTTTCAAAATAAATACCCATTCTTTAATCTTCTATGTAAATATTTGTTTTAATCTATTTTCTAAAATAGTCTAATTTTTTTAGTAGTTTCCTAGATGATAAAAAAGGACAAAACTGTGGCAAAAACAAGCAAATAGAAAAAGAGTACTCCCTAATATGCATCCCATTGGTTAAGTTGAACAACTAGTTAACCATTCAAATTTGGTCACACTGTGGGTAAATTTATTTTAATTATTTAAATAAGTAATTTTACAAATATTTGGGCAACGTACTTGCAACTTGCAAGTACGAAGTATTTAAGCGATGTTTTAGCTTCATTTTTATTTAAATAATAATTTTTTTTTTCATTTTGTTTATACTAATTATACTTTACTACGGCTTAAGAAGTACTTAGATTTATATTATAGGCACAAGTTATTTTGCTTATTATTTTGTTATTTTTTTTTGTAAAAGTAACAAGTTTTCTGTATATTGCATTTTTTAAATAAGTAAAATTTAAAATAAAATAAAACTATAAGAAAAAATGTCATTAGTTTTAAATAATGGAAAAATAGAGTATACACACTGTAATTTATTTTATTGTATCATTTAATCAAAATTGTTATATATAATAAATTTAATGACTTTTACGAAAAGTACTTAAAGAATTATACGTACCAGATTAAGCTTATAAATAATTGTAAAATCACATATTTTAAGCATACGCATATTTTTTTAAGCATAAAAACAATCACATTTTAAAGACATAAGATATAGTAAGCAACGAATTCCAATCCTCAAGAGTTTAAGAAAATATGCAAGTATAAAAACTTATAGTAGTTGATTAAGTAAAGTGTGTAAATATCGTAAAATTTTTAATATTAAATTTGATTCTTATATATAATATAATTTTTTTTATAGGCGTGAAGTTATGCATCCGGGCATTAAAATTAATAAGCTTTATTTTTTTAAAATTAATATATTATGTTATTAAATAAATTGAATGATGAGATTCTTGTAGTTTTAATTGTAAATCCGGTAAGTGATATATTCATCTTCGATAATGAAGGTTTTATTATTTTATAGTATAATAATAAGTTAAAGATATAAAACTTTTGAAATTAATGAGAAAATTGTGAAAGTAAGATATTTGTATCAAGACACAATTTTAGTATTTATTAATTGGACGGTGTGAAAAAAATATTTATTAATTTGATATCGATATGATGTGTCGAAATTAAAATTATATAATAAATTTAAACTAAGATCGATTAAAGTTGAGTTACATGCTCAAAATTTAATTTGAAATTAATTATATTAAAGAAATACTATTTGAAAATAATAAAAATATAGAAACAAGTAAAATAAGATACTTAATAAAATGAATAAAACAAAAAGTTACTTAAAAATATATCAATTAAAGAATAAATGTAATTTAAATTAAAAAATATAATTGAGTTAATACTCCTAATTTTTTATAGATAAAATAATTTTGACTATTATTAACACAAATAAATTAAATAAATTTTTGGAAAGACAAAACTCACTTGATAAATAATTATTTTTGATATATCTTAAAATTTCATAGTTTTGTGCATGATTAAAATAGACATGAATTCTAAAAGATCTCTAAAGCAAGCAAAAATGGTGAAAACCACCTACCCAAGCAACTGGAATTCAAAGGGTATAAATGGAATAAGAAGTAAGTAGGAAGGAGAAAATGGTAAAAAGACCATCCTGGCTGCATAACAAAAACACCTTAAACCTCTCGCTCCACTTTCCTAACACCCTAACTCTTACCACTCTTTCTTTCTTCCTTCTTCTTTCTATTCTTCCTCCGTTTTCTACGCTCTGCACAAGTAAGCTCAATCTCCGTCTCATTTCCGAACCACTAACTGAATTCTCATCAACCATGCAATAAAACAAGATCTAACCAATTCGCAGTAATAAACCATTTCGTTTCTCTTTTTTTTTTTCTTGTGCATTTTTCGAGGTTAGTTCCAGAATGGCATCGCGAGCGATTCTGAGAAGGAGAAGGAGTTTTGTTCAACAATACGTGAATAACGGTTTCTCCGCTCCGACTCCGAGTAACCGCTCTCTGCAACGTGCGATAGCTACGACTTCTCCTCCGTCTCCATGCAAGCACGGAACGACGCCGTTCGGAGACGACTCCTTCGATCGTTATGGATTCGGACAACGCGTTCGCAGATTCGGGAGCTTCGTTCCTCGGGACGGCTTTTCGGGATTGAATGCGCCGATAGGTGTGCGGTGGCTGTCGCAGATGTCGTCGGCGGCGAAGAAGCATGAGCCGGAGGATATTGACGAGACTGTGGCGAAGAAGCGGAAAGAAGCGTCGCCCGAGGAGTGCGATCAAGCCGTTGAAGGCTTGAGCACTGCGAAGGCCAAGGCCATGGCGAAACGGGCGCAGGAGTCGCAGAAAGAGGTGCAGAGTGTTTTGAGGAAAGTGTGGACTGCGTTTTTGGGAATCGGTCCAGCGTTGAGAGCCGTGGCTTCTATGAGTAGGTCCGCAGTTACGGTTCCGAAAATCATGCGAAATTGCATTTACTTTTGAGAGTTGCATTTGATTTTAGATTGAAGATACGTTTGTGTTTCGAGAGTAGAAATTGCATTAGGCTTTTGAAATTGTTTTGTTGTGTCTACGGTTGCAGATTTAAATATAATGAAATGTTTGCTCGTTAGAGGTTGGTGATTTGGCGTGTAGGTTTGCTAATAGTTGCATTTACTGTTGAGAATTGTATTTGATTTTATATTTTAGATTGAAGTTACGGCTGTGTTTTGCGTATATAAATTGCAGCTGAGGCTTTTGAAATTATAGTTTTGTGGCTGTAATTGCTGTTGCAGATTGAAATATGAAACAGTGACAGGTTTGTTCGTTAAGGATTGATGATTACTGATTTCACATTTAGGTTTGCTAATTGTTGCATTGACTGTTGATAATTGTATTTGATTTTAAATTGAGGTTACTATTGTGTTTCAAGTATAGATATTGCAGCTGAGGCTTTTGAATTTGTTAGATTGAAATTTGAAACTGTGAAAGTGATTTGGTGTTTTGGTTTGCTAATTGTTGCTGCTGCAGGGAGGACTGGGCAAAAAAACTGGTTCACTGGAAAGGGGAATTTGTGTCGACATTGCAGCATTATTGGTTGGGTTCGAAGCTGCTGTGGGCTGATGTGAGGATCAGTTCCAGGTTGTTGTTGAAGCTTGCGGGTGGGAAGAGTCTCTCCAGAAGGGAGAGGCAGCAACTGACACGGACTACTGCTGACATCTTTAGGCTAGTTCCTTTTGCAGTATTTGTTATTGTTCCCTTTATGGAATTCCTCCTGCCTGTGTTTCTGAAGTTATTCCCTAACATGTTGCCATCAACATTTCAAGACAAGATGAAAGAACAGGTAAATGCCATGAATTTTTGGGTGTTTGCTGTTATCTTTGCTAGCTCAAAATAAACTGTATAAAAATCTTTTGTTCCATTTCATCTAGGAGTTGCCTTCTCTAAAATGAGTGTGGATAAAATATGTAATTTTAGTTGATGATGAGAAAATCAACAGTTTATATTTTAACATATCCTTGATTTGTTATGCATGTGCACATATTAATAACCATTGATTTTCTTGTTAATGGCTGAGATCACTCACATTACTTTCTAAAGTGGGTTGCTCACTTTACAGGAGCTGGATCCTTCCATCTAATACCAAGGGAAATACATTTTTATTACTAAGCCACTGTAAGGTCTGTCCTAGCCCAATGTAAAGAACAGCTCCTGGGATTAATATCATTATATCGGAATGTCCACTTTTTTCCTAGGGTATGTTTGGGAATTAGGTTTTGGAGGGGAAGGGAGAGGAGGACAATATTTTATTTTATTTTTCTAATTAAGAGATATATATAATTTTTAAAGATAAACAAAAGATTAATATATTAAGTTGATGCTAATCTGTCATTTTATTTCTTTTATTATAAAAAAACAAATTAGAGAATAATTTTTGAAATAAAAAAGTTGTTCTTCCTTTCCTTCTCTACCAAACCAAACTTCCAAAATACCCTAATAATCAGTTCCTTTGGTCACAAATTGAACATAAACTAGTGCTAATAATACATTGTGTTTTCTAGCAGCCTCCGGTATCAAATACTGATGATCCTGATTAGAAACCATTTTTGTGTATCTGTATTTGGAATGCGCGTTACTTTTTTATTCAGTTAGCATGAACGTGTGGGATTTGAGTGTCCATTGTAGGGTGTTTGGGTGACTCAGTTGCTCAATGTGTAGGAAGCATTGAAAAGGAGACTCAAGGCAAGGATAGAGTATGCACGGTTCCTTCAGGATACTGTCAAAGAAATGGCAAAAGAAGTTCAGAACTCCCGTAGTGGAGAATTAAAGAAAACAGCTGAAGATCTTGATGAATTTTTAAACTTGGTTAATAATTTAATTCAAAGAATTGTTTATCAATTTTGCTTTCCAAATTTTTTTTCCTTAGTTAGTCATTTGTATGCTTTATTTTTTTTCTGCAGATTAGAAGAGGTGCAAGTGTATCTAATGAGGAAATTTTGGGCTTTGCTAAGTTGTTTAATGATGAACTTACTCTTGATAATATAAGCAGGTTGGTCTCTTAACCCTGCTTGACTTCAATGTGCTGTTTTTCTCAGTTGTGAGATGGTATCATGACTTCTATTGTGTCTTTACTGCTCTTAGGCCACGGTTAGTCAATATGTGCAAGTACATGGGAATCAGCCCTTTCGGCACTGATGCATACTTACGATATATGCTAAGAAAACGTTTACAGAGGTAAGATTCATTTTATCATAAATGTTTTTGTAACCTTTTTTCTTTTCTAATTGTAATTGCAAGTTTAGGTTTTATCTAGATGAATTGTAATACAATTTGGAAAGTAAAAGAAAATCCTCTGCAAAAAGATACCTTGTTATTAGAAAAGATTACCTCTCCTTACGATGTCATTAGGTGTAAAAACAAGATAACAATAATCTTATGCAAATTACAATATTCAAATATAATTACAAAAGGATCAAATACTATAAGACCATTCCTATATCTTGTAGCTACAGCAACATCCAAAGCCTTATCTTGATAGACAGGGTTGACTTCATGAATTAAACAATTTCATCGGGCTCAATCAAAGATCAAATTCCCGATAAATCCATTGATGCTGCATTTGGTGCCCAAAATTGGGATTGGAATTGGACATGCTAATTTATATTTTATGTTTGGGTTGGAGTTGAATGCTCTTTTAACTTTTGAAACTGCATATCATCATGCATGATTAAATTATTACAAGAATAGTTTCTTTCTATTTATTTAAGGTTGAATGATCTGGGGAGGAATTTTATTTAAGAAAAGAAAAAATTGAAGAGGAATTCTTTTCTTTCCTCATCTTTTTGGTCTGAACACTTTAGAAGACATCTATTGCATTCGTCTTCTGGCGTTATTACTATTACTAATTAGCATCATTAGTTACAAAAACTCACCAAAGTAGTTTTCTTGTTCATCACCTTTTAAGATTCTATACTTAAATTTACCATTTAATTTGACGAACCTCGTAATTCTGTTACTTCCAAATGTCCTCTTTTGTCAGGATTAAGGAAGATGATAAATTGATTCAAGCAGAAGGTGTGGATTCTCTTTCAGAAGCCGAACTACGGGAAGATTGTAGAGAGCGAGGCATGCTTGGGTTATTTTCTGTTGAAGAAATGCGCCAACAGGTTGTGTTGGGAACAATTCATGATTATTTGTGTTCTGTTTGAGTTTTGGATCTTGACTGGGATATTGAAACCTTAGTTTTCTTGAATATCAAATGTTACTTTGGTATTTCTATTCTAAAATTTGTCAACCTGCCTGTACAGCTTCGAGATTGGCTGGATTTATCTCTGAATCACTCTGTGCCATCATCTCTTTTGATACTTTCAAGGTAATTCTGGCAAGGTTTCCTCCTTCAGTGGGGCCAAGTAGAAAGTTAAAGAAAGAACCTGCTGAATATGCATTTTGAAATCTCACTTGGTATCCTTTATAGGTCATTTACAGTGTCTGGGAAATTGAAACCAGAAGAAGCTGTACAGGCTACACTTTCTTCTCTCCCCGATGAGGTTGTAGATACTATACAGGTTACATCTCTACCCTCCGAGGATTCTGTTTCAGAGAGAAGGAGGAAATTGGAGTTCCTTGAAATGCAGGAAGAACTTATTAAGGTAAAATATGGAATTGCATTGCTCTTGATACTTATACTGATAGAAGGTCTCTTTGTTGCGTTACATTAGGATGGCATTGATAAAGTTATTCTGTTTGATGGTGTTTGATATTTGCTCTACTTCATATGAGAAGAATCTACTGAAACATACTAAATGAACAGTGACACAAGAATTATTTCATTATTTTGTTTGACAGGATTCATTTGGAGTCTGATTAGTAAGTTCAAGGAATAAATGTGTTAGGGTCGTTGATATGCTGAGTTTGCCATAATGTTCATTTTGTAGGTTTAAATAACTATTGATGAAAATTAAGTAGCTTTCTTGAACCAATATTCCATGTTACAAACAAGTGTGATATGTAACAGTATTATAAATCAAATGCAGGAGGAGGAAGAAAAAAAAGAGGTGGAGCAAGCAAGGAAGGAGAGTAGTTCTAGTCAAGAGGATAAGGCCCTGAATGAGATGAACATTTCAACAGCAAAAGAAGCTCACCAGCTTGCTAGAGACAGAGCAGTGGAAAACAAAGAGCAACTGTGTGAAATCAGTCGTGCATTAGCTGTTTTAGCATCTGCATCGGTGAGAATTTTTTAATTGCTTTTGATTTTTTATGGCATGTACTGTTTAACGTGTAAGCAGTTTAATGTGTGCTTATGTCTTTTACTCTGGTGGCAGTCTGTAAGTACAGAGCGTGAAGACTTTCTTAGGCTGGTTAATAAAGAGGTATATTTGAACTTACAAAATTCATTTGCTTTTGCATCTTCAATAGATTTTGGGTAAAGTTTTCATGCACTATATATAATGTTATTTGAAATTTGTTATGCATGCCACACACATTTTTCCACTTTTTTTATCCTTCACTATTTTTCCTTTTGGACAAATATATTTAGTCTTCGAGTTTTGATCAATAAAACCTACGGGGTCTTTAACACAATTTCATGTTTGATATTAATATTGTTATTATTAATACTGCTATAATATGTTTCCTCTCTATGTAATCTGACAATCATTCTACAAACACTTCATTTGAATCATTTCTGACATTGTTAAGAAGCATTTTTACCCAGTAATCTGATTGTGGAGCACGTGCCACATGCCCTGTAATATGCATCGTCTGTGTATGAAAATTGTGACACTGTAAAATGATCCCCCATCCTCTGTGTGTTCTTGCATGCATATTTAATCTGTTTGCCATCCTTGTCATTGGCTGTTTTGCATGTGTCCAGATAGAACTCTATAACAGTATGGTAGAGAAAGAGGGTTCAAATGGTGAAAAAGATGCCTATAAGGCATATAAAGCTGCCCGAGAGGAACATGAACATGCCACTGAGTCGGGTGAAGAAGGGGATAAGGTGTCATCAGCACTCATCGAGAGAGTAAGAACCATATCATTTTATTTAGTCTTGGGGAAAAGCTAGAAACTAATTTTACATTTTTGAATTTGTAATTATTTGTAATTTGAAAATATGTCAGGTTGATGCTATGCTTCAAAATCTTGAGAAGGAAATAGATGATGTGGATGCCAAAATTGGTGACCGTTGGAGGCTGCTGGACAGGTTTGCACTAGCTCTTCAACATTGGTCTTTAATTTATTTATTTGGCGTGTGGGGGTGGAGGTGGGTGGGTCCCAAAGGAGATCTATGGTCTGGTGTTGGGAGGGAGAGGTCTGCTATAGTTTAGGCAAAGTGGCCTGGCTGAAATGGATCCTGTGGTCAAGCAGTTCTTAAAGGGACTCGGTGCCTTTTTAGCAAAGGCTTTTTGATATTGCATTTTTTTATTGGTCATGCTTGTCCTAACCTTATCATATCTCTTTAAAGTGTAGTATGTAGTTTCCTATCGCATTTGCACAATATCAGTTTAGTTAAAGTTGAACTATGATAGCCACTTCGTGCTTGAATTTGCTACTTCAAGTTTACTGAATAGGAATCGTTTGACTTAATTGCTATTGCTCACATTTGGTTATTGGTGGAATTCTCGGTATATTCTGTCAATAATTTGATGTCATAGTATGTTCTCTTTTGTAATTGAGTTCTTACTAAAGGAGAGCGATGGATAGATTGAGGAACATAATGTAATTACTGTTTGAAGCAAGTTATTGTAATTATGTGAGAGGGGGCCTTTCTGGGGCCAGAACCTGAAATTATAGCAAGAATAAACATCTTATTGCGTACACAACCTCGGTAAAATGAGCACAGAAAGAATTCAATGATTGACCATAAAAGATAACAAGCTTATCTTTCTTCTGCATCATTTATTTACATAACTGCTACGTGAGGCTGTTTTAAATTTCCATCAAGGTTTTTAATGATTGATAAATTTCACTGGTGGCACTATTTTGTTGTGCTTTATAAACTATGAAGGATTTGTGTTGTATTACAATTTAAGTTCACAAGTACCAGAGAAAGATGTGAATATATTTTCATTTTATAGTGATTATAAGGTGCACACATTTGAATGGCAGAGGTATAATACTCTGAACTCATGTTCCAAGTTGTAAGCTTATCAATCAACTCCAAATGGGAGGAATACATTTGCACGTTTGTTTTAAAAGTTAAAACTTGTTTTGGATGTCAATGGGTGATAAATTTGATCGGTCATGTGCATGATATATTCTTGTTTTCCATTTATACAAGTCAAGTACTTTATTGGGACAATATATGTTTGTAATGACTTCTGTTTATATATTAAAACTTGAAGTTATTTTTGGCCTTTGCAGAGATTATGATGGGAAAGTAACTCCTGAGGAGGTAGCCTCTGCTGCAATGTACTTAAAGGATACATTGGGCAAGGAGGGTATACAAGAACTCATTAGCAATCTTTCCAAAGATAGAGGTCTGTCATTTCTCTCTCACACAAATTTAATATTTTCTTTAATCTTATCATTCTGGATTTTGTTTGCTCTGTTGTGCATTTAAAAATAGTTTTGTTCTTCTGTAATAAATTGCAGTGAAATTTTCATGGAATTTCACCTGTATAGCAATATAATATAAGTGAACAGTATCTCAGACAGATCAACCAAAATTATTCCTCTATGAAGTTTAGCGGGATGGTTAGAACATTGAAGTATAATTTTTAGTGGGTTATCAAAATTACTTTTAAAATGACTGCTTTTGGGAGGTTTCTTATTCTAAATCAGTATTTTACCACTTCATTCAAATCTCGTGTTACCTTTTTTTTTTCTTTCTCCAGTATGTGCCTTTACAAGTTGGTATCCATCAGTCATAAGTTTGAACAATTTCTAGGACTGTTGAAATTTCCATATCCTATATACTTTAAGGAACGTAAACAACAAAAAAATCCATTTACTGGTAGCAAATTATATATGTTTTCCCTCCATTTCTTTTGGGGTTGCAAAGTTGGACCGAGAAATAAACCATTTTTGGTGTAAAAATTGTTTTGATATGATGGGACACTGAAGCCTGACAATTCTCATTGCTCCCTCCCCTTCGGCGTGGGATGTGAGGGAGGGGAGAATCTTAGTCGAATACTCTGGAAACTTGCAATGTTTCTGAGTAATATATTCCGGGACTAAATTTATCAAACTTACCTATTATTTATGAAGATTAGTTCATGAATACTACTGATATCATGTTTTATTGCTACAGATGGGAAAATATTTGTTGAGGACATTGTTAGGTTGGGCAGTTGGAGGGAAGATAGTAATTCACCTGAAGATGGGAGCGGGGAGAGGGTATGATCCGTCATTTGACTTCCAGATACATTCGAATTCCAGTTATTGATTTTGTATTCAACTAATAAGTAGTAGTTCAATTGTAGCAGTCAGATGAAAATCAAGTGTGTGCAAGCTCTGTAAATTTATGACAGCTGAGCACACAAATATACTTTATATTTACACATGATACGCCTTGTTGGCTATTGGGATGCATCATTGCTGTACTAAAATTTAAATTAATTCCGTGAAATATAAGTGAATACAAAATATTATTTTGATAACTTGTTAAAGAAATAATTAAAGAATTGCATTTAATATAACAATCTTCACACGTGCTTTTCTCAATGTCCTTGTTGGTCTCTCCTTTTATAGGATTAAAAATTATGTTAACTATCTTCACACGTGCTTTGTTACTTTATATTTTTTTTTGACAATCTTTTTTAAATTGGTTCCGTCTTTTTTTCATCTATTATATCAATATTATATATATATATATATATATATATGGTGAGATATTCATTTATTTTAAAATAAAGTTCATCTAGATTTATTCTGTTTAATAATTTATAT